CGTGCTCTCTTTGATAAAGTGGGCACATCATCAATAGTCAACCCCTTGCTCAAGGGGTTCAAATCCGTGGTTTCAGCCTCGTCGAATGCCGGCGGGGCATTGTGAACCACAAGCGGAGCAGTGGCAGGAAGATCTTCTTCTTGGGCTTCTGAAGCCGAAGTCCAACGGGTCTTCTTAGAGTAGACCTTCCTGCACCTGCGAGGAGAGGCCGATCTGGAGGAGGATAAGTATTCCTTGTACTTCTGTTGGTCAAACTCATATTCGACCTCTATTTCAACCGGGATGAGGATCCGAGATTGTGACACATCAGCCTTCGCAGAAAGGCTGTCGGCTCCCACTGTGGTCGCTAATTTGTTTCGTCGAAAGTCACCTTCATTATCGATTTCATTAAAACTTCAATAGTTTACAAATAAATTCAAATAAAAAAAAATAAAGATTACAACTCTCTTGAAAATAAACACAAGAATCGTTTATTGGCTCTTGCTTGCGTGAGTTCTTCGCCTGTGCCGGGGACGTCAATATTCGTGGACGACCGCGGATCAGATCCAGTTATCGAAAAATTAACGGGGCTCCTACTTTACCAAGAAAGTATTTGCTTGAAGATCTGAAATCGACCAAGCAAAATTAGTAGCTCTTCTCGAGATTAAGACTAAGCCTAATCTCAAGGAACGGACGTACATGGCTTTGGATCATTCGAAAGACTTCTCCTTTATGCTAAAGTTCGCTGGGATCTCGTTGGCCTTCACTGAAATTTCGTGCTCATTGACTCCTCAATCCAGCAGCACCTTGTCCTCTTGATAAAATTCTAGATCTGTAAAATGGAGGCCTTGGGCTGATATTTATAGGCCCCTGGTGTGGGTATTTGGATGAGAATGAGTGATTTAGCCTTATCTTTAGTTAACAACAGCCTAACCACATTTGTGAATGATATCAAATCAGTTGGGAACCCCTAGAATAGATAAATCCAACGAAAACCACTTTAAAACCGTCAAAAACGTGTTTCGGGCTCTGGACTGCGCGACGGGCTCTGCTGACTCATGGGGGGAACGGGTCGGCAAGATCCGACCCGCACCCGTGCTAGCACGGGTCCGTCGCCTCCGCCGAACTCTTTCTCTTTTGGCGCTTTTCTTTCCGAGACTTGTAATTTTCGCTATTTTATGTATTTGGTCGACTCGTTGACTTATACGCTTCGTTACGGGACTGACCGTCAAACACGTCGGTCACTTGGGGCTGCTTGACGTATGCGTGTTGGTTGACATGTGCGCATTGGTTAACATGCGCGTGTTGATTGATGCACGCGTGTTGACCGACGTGCACGAGCTGATTGACACGCGCGTGTTGATTGACGCGTGCGTGTTTGACCAACACGCGCAAGCTGATTGACGTATGCGTGTTGACCGACGCGCACGAGCTGATTGACGCACGTGTTGACCGACGCACGTGAACTGATTGGCGCGCATGTTGACCGACGCGCGTGAGCTGATTGACGCGCGCATGTTGATCGACGCGCACAAACTGATTGACGCGCGTGTTGACTGACGTGCCAGAGCCGATTGGGTAAACCTTCTTGACTCGTCCACTCTTTGCTTCGAGTTTCGTGCGGGCTCTCATAGGCAATTTTAGATGCCTACAATTGCTCGTTCCTTGCTGGAGGAGGATCAGCGTTGGTTGTCGAGCATTGGAGGAGTTTTAGAGCTTTGACATATTTGGGTCATCTTAGTCATAGGTTGCCGACTGCTGCGTGTGGAGATTTTAGATCTGGTGGAGCTGCTTCAGATTTTGGGTTACGTCAGATATTTGGTTGTCCAACATTTGGTCATAATCCGATTGCACATTTAAGATTTAGAGGCTCGTTTGGTTATCAGTTAGGAGACTAATTTGGTTCTGAGCAGGTATGTCACTTTTGACTCTCGGTAGGTGGAGAGTGTTGATTAAATCCTTGGGATATCGTAGCGGATGGAGGGTGATGCTACCTTACGTTGGGTGAAGATTACTCCACATACTCCAGATCATTCTACATCATTTGGGATTCCAGCTGAGGTGACACAGTTTGGGGATCATGGTGATTTGGATGCAGATGATGAGTTGGTTGATTCGAGTGTATCTGGTGGACATAGTTTGGATTTGGATATGGCTGTTGGTTCATCTCAGGTGAAGATGTTTGGATTGTTTCACTTTGGAGCCATTAGGAGAGCTATCAGACGCAGATTTGGTGATGACGTTGGAGAAGGGTTGCGAACTCTTCTATTGGATTGAGGGCCTTTGGAGGCCATTGGGGGAACTATGTGAAGGCTTGATTCCTTAGGCAAGAGGATAAGTAAGCAGTCGTTTATGATGCAGTCGATTTGGTGAGTAGATACCAACTTTTGGAGAGTGGTCACATTCTCGTTTGGGTCTCGACTTGTTGTGGATTGAGTCCGTTGTTATGATTTTGTTTCACTTCGTACTGGACGCAACAAGTGAGACATTTGTTTGGTGTTGGTGTCGGCTCAGTTTTGTCACCAAGATTGATAATTGTTGGATAGCAGGTTCCTAATATGTTTCCTAATTTATTTTAGTAACAGGTTATTGAGATTCCTAGTCTGTTTTGGTAACAAGTTATTGGGATTCCTAATCTGTTTTGGTAACAGCTTATTAGGATTCCTAATCTGTTTTGATTTTGGTTTTAGAATTCCTAGTATGCTTTTGGTTTTAGGATTTCTATATATATAGGAACACGTTTTAGGTTTGGGGAGCATCGAAGGGGATATTTGGAGCACAGAAAAGAGGTATTTTATGGAGCTATTGGTTAGGGTTTTGTTTGGAAAGAATTAGAGCTTTGTTGGTGAGATTAATTGGTGAGTTTGTGTGATTTTATAATCTCAGTTTGTACTCTTCTTCTCTATTAGTGAAAACATCATCCCCTTATTGCCTCGTGGGCGTAGGCAACTTGTTGAACCACGTTAAAATTGGTTGTTTGAGTTTGTGTCATTATTTTGCATTGTTTGGCATTCTCTCGACGTCTGTTTGATTTGGTCTCTCGAAGCACATCGTTTTGGGTTTGGCTTCCGCCACGCACAACATAAACATTATCTATTTGTTAGAGATCAGTCTATCAATGACAAAAGTCCATGAGGTTCACTGGAACCGAATGACGAGTCCTTTCCGTCTGCATCAAGGTTTTACATCCATGGACGTTGCTTCAATTAGGACTTCGACCCATTAAATTCACATCCTTTCATTTGCAGCAATAATTTGTAGCCATTAAATCAAGATATAAGGATGTGTTTAGATTATTAGAAGCGCGGAGAATCAAACGAACAGGTTAATGGTATGTTATTTCACATCCTTTGCACGGGTTGCTTGCAAAAAAGAAAATTCTGAAAATGTAGGCAAAGAGAGGCCAAACTTTGTCAAATTGCACTCTTACCCAACACTCTATTTTGGTACTTAAATGCTGTGAGGAGAACCGTCTAATTTTAACCAATCAGATCTATCCAATGGCTAAAAAGTTAGGTGCACAAGAGGTGCTATCTGCTTTAAGTAAATAGTAACTTAACTATGTACACGTACAATAGACAGAAGATTTACCAGAGGTGAAAGGGAAAAAGGGAGCACATTTCATTTCAACATGGCCAGCGATCTTCTCATCTTTACACGGTACTACATCTCAAGGCACTGTCTCCTCCTCTCTCCTCTCCCGTTCACTACGAAAAATTACCATACTACTGAGCTAGCTAATTAGTAATCTTTTCCTAATAATGAAATAGAGTTCCACTGGTTCAATGGTCCAACAACTACGTACCAACTTTTGGAGAGTGGTCACATTCTCGTTTGGGTCTCGACTTGTTGTGGATTGAGTCCGTTGTTATGATTTTGTTTCACTTCGTACTGGACGCAACAAGTGAGACATTTGTTTGGTGTTGGTGTCGGCTCAGTTTTGTCACCAAGATTGATAATTGTTGGATAGCAGGTTCCTAATATGTTTCCTAATTTATTTTAGTAACAGGTTATTGAGATTCCTAGTCTGTTTTGGTAACAAGTTATTGGGATTCCTAATCTGTTTTGGTAACAGCTTATTAGGATTCCTAATCTGTTTTGATTTTGGTTTTAGAATTCCTAGTATGCTTTTGGTTTTAGGATTTCTATATATATAGGAACACGTTTTAGGTTTGGGGAGCATCGAAGGGGATATTTGGAGCACAGAAAAGAGGTATTTTATGGAGCTATTGGTTAGGGTTTTGTTTGGAAAGAATTAGAGCTTTGTTGGTGAGATTAATTGGTGAGTTTGTGTGATTTTATAATCTCAGTTTGTACTCTTCTTCTCTATTAGTGAAAACATCATCCCCTTATTGCCTCGTGGGCGTAGGCAACTTGTTGAACCACGTTAAAATTGGTTGTTTGAGTTTGTGTCATTATTTTGCATTGTTTGGCATTCTCTCGACGTCTGTTTGATTTGGTCTCTCGAAGCACATCGTTTTGGGTTTGGCTTCCGCCACGCACAACATAAACATTATCTATTTGTTAGAGATCAGTCTATCAATGACAAAAGTCCATGAGGTTCACTGGAACCGAATGACGAGTCCTTTCCGTCTGCATCAAGGTTTTACATCCATGGACGTTGCTTCAATTAGGACTTCGACCCATTAAATTCACATCCTTTCATTTGCAGCAATAATTTGTAGCCATTAAATCAAGATATAAGGATGTGTTTAGATTATTAGAAGCGCGGAGAATCAAACGAACAGGTTAATGGTATGTTATTTCACATCCTTTGCACGGGTTGCTTGCAAAAAAGAAAATTCTGAAAATGTAGGCAAAGAGAGGCCAAACTTTGTCAAATTGCACTCTTACCCAACACTCTATTTTGGTACTTAAATGCTGTGAGGAGAACCGTCTAATTTTAACCAATCAGATCTATCCAATGGCTAAAAAGTTAGGTGCACAAGAGGTGCTATCTGCTTTAAGTAAATAGTAACTTAACTATGTACACGTACAATAGACAGAAGATTTACCAGAGGTGAAAGGGAAAAAGGGAGCACATTTCATTTCAACATGGCCAGCGATCTTCTCATCTTTACACGGTACTACATCTCAAGGCACTGTCTCCTCCTCTCTCCTCTCCCGTTCACTACGAAAAATTACCATACTACTGAGCTAGCTAATTAGTAATCTTTTCCTAATAATGAAATAGAGTTCCACTGGTTCAATGGTCCAACAACTACGTACAAGGGGATCCCCACAATTTAATTTTTGGCTTTTATTTGGCCTAGCTCATCAATGCACTCTCTCTATTGGTCACAAGCCTGCGAAAAAAAAAACAAATAAATTATAAACAAAAAAAGTAAAAAGTTTTATATAAAATACTAGAAGTACTTAGAAGTTTGTAATCATTTGAAGCTAGCATTTGGTCTGAATACTCACCAGATGTTTAATTGTGAGGCTCCCAAGTTATTTCCCCTACTGGAAAGAGCACATGTTGTTGAGCTCCACTTGCATTAGAAAACTCCCACTGTCCTGAAAAAAAAATATATAGGATGTTGATAATTCTTTAATTGTTGGATAAATTTAAAAAAAAAACAATAAAACGTAATTTCAGATATACCCCTTTTTACTAGGAGGGTATAGCCAGTTATATATATATAGCCTCTAAACTATTTTCTTAACGCTTACCCCTGAATTCCACACCTGTTTGGGTGAGATTTTACGTCAGAATTACGCAATGATAAATTATATTTTACTAATTGATAAATTACAATTAGGTACCCTGAGAACTTTGTATATTTACACGAGCGGGTGACGTAAAGCATCATGAATAACATCGAGATTAATACTGATTGTATATATATACATGAGTAATCTCAAGAAAGAAAAAGTAATTAGGCATCAGGGTCACCCGCATGGTTAATAATCAACAATCTCAAAGTTACGTGTAGGTATGTAAATACTAATAAAAATGATCTATGGATTTATCTGCAATTATGATCTTCAAAATATGAAATATAAACCTGAGAGATCAAGGTATTTGGTGGCCCTTGCCCATGAAGAGGAAAAGGAGCTGCAGGGTTCATCACTTGCAGTTGGCTGTTTGCTGCTCTCTCAAATGCTGTGGACATTTGTTGTGATGTGCTCCCCATTTCCTAGAGAGTAAATTTAAGGTCATCAACATCAAACACAAATGTTAATTTTGGATCATGCTACACTATATTAATATCTGAGATGTTATTGCTTTGCTAGCTTTTGTTCTGAGCAAAGTGACATTTGCAATCGTTGAGATATAAAATTACAGTTTAACAATTACGAGTTACTTCATGGGATGTATTAAAAAAAAAATCATTTATGGAACAGTAAATTACATTTTAACGTTTGCTTTTGTTCTATGATTGACTACATTATGCTAAAACACATGGTACTTCGTGCGGTAGGGGATTTGTGCCCATAAATAAATATACCTCTTGTTGACTCATGAAGGCCTCATAGCCCACACCGGCGTCATACAAAATGGGACTGACTGAAGCAAGCTTCATTGAGAGAAACTTCAAAGAAAGCAAGCAAAAAAAGTTCCCTTAGACAAAAAAGTTCCATTGAGAGAAAGGAAGCAAGCGACACAGAACTTTGTATCCTACCTCAACTTGGTTTTGCAAGGATTGAACATAGTTGATAATCTCATCCAAAACAAGGGCCTTCCCCATAACCTAACCAAAAACCAAACTTATTAACTTCTTCTTTTTCTTCATTTTCCTTTTTAATTCAATTTGTTGAATTCACATCGCAATAAATGGGGAAGAACTCACCTTATCACATCCGGGGACGAGGCCTTGCAATTTCTTCATCCTCTCACTTATCCTCTCCCTTCTCACCTAAAAATGTCCACGCACAATAACCATGATTATTGTTTTATTTTTTTATTTCACTGTTTTAATTTTAGATTTGTTAGGTTAATTACCCTCTCAGCTAAGCTGTGGCTATCAGTTGCCTGGCCTCTCCTAGCCCTCACATGAATGTATCCCGAAGGTGGCTCACAATTTGTCGCGTTTGAAGCCTTCGAATCCTTAGCTTTGCTCTTCTCCTCCTCTAATTCTCCCTTCAATGCTCCGTTAGTCTTCTTTCTCTTACTCTTATTTACCTTAGCACCCTTTCAAAATTTGCAAACCACCTCAAACATAATTAAACATGAAAAGAGAAAACTCTAAAATTATGTAAGCGTTTATTATGTGAGTTTTTACCTCGGGTTGGCAAGAGGTTAAGCAACTACCATCACACTTCTTCCTCTTCTTCGCTAGAGAGGTTGACGAGGATTCTTGCATAGCTTCGGATGAGTTGTGGCTAGTGAAGCAAGAAGATGAGGCATTACTATGCTCTCCTCCATTTTGGTGATGAGGGAGGAGAGACATCTCGATAGGGTCTAGGTAGAAAGGATGGTGTTGTTGATATAAGAAGGCTTCCATTGTTATATGATGAATGATGAAGAGGGGAAATTTTTTTTTTTTTTGGGATGGAATAGCTAGAGATGAAAAAGCTAATGAAAAGATGAAGGGATATGAATAGAGAATCACAATATTGAAGGGCAATGTGGGTCTTTGTGGCAGGGTTGCTCCTGGTTTATATAAAAGCTAGAGAGAGGGAGAGGGGAGAGAGATGATAAGACCAGTCAAACATGCACATATCTTCCTAATAGAAAATAAGAAAAAGACAACAACCTTTAGAAGCTCATGTGTAAGAAATTATGTAAGTGTTGTTTGACACCGGATAAAGTGAGGAGTTAAGGATAACAGTTAATTAACCCAACTTAACTAGACAAATATGAAAAGTTTCCACAGGCAATTTGACAAATATATAAGAAATAGAAAGGGTTATGATAAATACTCTTCTAGATGAATTAAATTGAGTTAAACCTCTCAAGCTAAGGTATTTAATAATCCATCTCCATAGACTAATTAAATTAGGTACATCTTTCTCCTTATTTAATTAATCTGTTTTTCCAAAAACCTTTGCGAAAAGAGACGATAAATTAAAAGGAATAAAAAGGGATATATATACTTGCCCTGCCATTGATCTTAAACCAGTGAAATTAGTCTTCAAAATTAGGTATTTGACAGTAGACGTAGGTGTAAGGAATAAAAGTTAAAACATCAGTATAAACAAAATATTAAATCAGTAAAAACAATACAGTAATGTTGAATGCAATCCACAACGTTAAAGTTCTCACTCTCCCTCATCGAGGACTCCGTGGATTTTTGATACAATGATAGATCTCTGTGTCTTTAGTATTTGTTTGTTAGTGATACGAGTGGGGTCAGATGAGAGGCAGGTGTATTTAATCAGTAACACTGCTTAGGTATTCATAGCTAAGGACTTTTTTAAACCATTGCAGAGACGAAGTCAGAACTGATATGAGTTCAGAGCGTAGTACTCACATTTGGTTTTTTGCGGAAGGCAAGCCTAGATTTTGGGGCTAAAGGTTTTTTTTTTTTTTTTTTTTTCCTTCTAGCTTTTCTTTCTTGTTTTGTTTTCAGATTGGTGGATGTTGTTGACGCTGGTGCATGCGAGGTAACTTTTTGTGGATATTGGCTTAGGGCTCTGTTAAAAGTTATGAATCCAAGTGCAGTGATGAGAACATGTGAGTTTGTGCAGGATCTTAGGAGGGAAATTGCGAGTGACAAGACAGTTCAAATATAGGAAGAGGGTGACAAATATAGTAATAAATGAAATCCTCTTGTTTACGGGTGGGTCATATTGTATTTTTATGGCATTTATGTATGAATGGGCTTTCAGGGTTTCGATCTCAAGGTTGGATAAATAAATACGTACCCTCTTTGGCTTGCTGACGGGGAGAACACGCTGTAGATGAGTTCCACGACTGTTGGACGGTAAGAAGCACAAGCAGGCCGTATTTCTCATTCCTTGGTTTAGGGTCAGATATATTATGTATGAAATCACATTTTTTCCCCTCCAAGACTGAGTCAACTAAACCTATTGTTGGTTCAGTTTGCCATCAATGGATTCATGAAATTCTCTCTAGATTGTGAGATATTAAACTTTGTGTCGATTATTTTTGCTATGTTTAGTAACGACATATGAGTCGACAGTTTTGATTAGGAAATGAACTCGATTTGATTTCAGATTTGATTGATTAGTTAGCTTAACTATATGGAGTCCTTGCGGCAACTCAGGAGGTCACATATCAAAGCCATTTCGATCCCAATGAGAGAGTGATGAAGATAATAATGGCAATTTTCCATATTTGTTATTTGACTTGCTTTTATTTTAGTTTTGGATAAGAAAGATTTGGCAAGTTTGACCAGATCTTAATTTAGTTTTAATTGTGAGAGATTTGAGGGATTTTCTATTTTGGTAGGATTTTAATTTTTAATTTTTAATTTTTAATTTTGAATTTTTAATTTTGAATTTTGGGTCAAATTTGGTAGTAGAGTCAGTTGTGGCAATTTGAGTGATTTGAGGGATTTCAGAATCTGTAATTTTTTCTCTTTAAAAGACTGCTGTGAAAAACACCCTATTGACACTAGGAAAGTACCCTAGAGGGGGGTGAATAGGGTTTATGCTAATCTAATCTGATTTTATGCCAAATTAAAAACTAATTAATAAATATATCCTAGCAAATAAGATATGAACAATATATGTCCAATGATATACAAATAACACAAGGGTAAAATAAACACAAACAATATAGTGGATAAAATAAGCAATGAGAGAATGACAATAAAGATGAACAAAGATATAAGTACGCCAAACCAAACTCAAACAAGTAAAATAATCACGGAGTTCGGACCTTCTGTCCTACGTCTTGGCTCCCCACTCCCGGGGAGAAATCCACTATCACATCGGGTTTTCAACGCTCACCCGAATAATGTTTACACCACACAATATCGGTTTTCAACGCTCACCGATCAACGTTCACAATGTAACTACACAAATACCACCTCAAATATTGGCCTCTTACGTGTCTCCCTCAAGTGTTAGGAATTATAACCTACCTCTAGGCATTACCACCTACCCCACTCCTCTTAGGACCGACCACGTCTATCACCTCTACACTCCTCTTGGTGTATTTGTGCAATATAATGTGAACCTCACAACATAGCTCAACAATAAATGAATATTTTCTATACAAGGTGAGAACTCAATTAAGCACAACTCAAAGTTACAATCTCTCACAACCCTAATTATACTATGTATAAAAATACTTAAGCTCAATGTGGGTGTGTGTAACAATGAGAATAAAATCAAAACTAAACTCAAATAAATTCTAGCTTATGGAAATAAAAATCAAACATATAAATAGCTAGATAAGAGTTTAGAAAAACTTCTCTAGATGATGAGAGAGAGAGAGAGAGAGAGAAGAGTTGAATGCTCAAACACCAATGGATGATCTCCTCAAGCTCTTGTGAAAATTTCTTCACAAACTAAACTCTTAAACACACTTTAAAACAAACTAAACTCTTGAAACTTGTTTTTAAAACTTCTTGATTAATTTCAGAAGTTAGAGGGCATGGGGTATATATAGGATCATAAGACAACGCCTAAAATCCAAGAAATCCCAGCAAAAAGACAAAATAACGGAAACATGAAAATCTAGAAAAACAAGTCGTTATGCCATCGGTCGACTGATCAGTCGACTGATGAGCTGACCATTACAAGCCAGCAACACATTATCAGTCGACTGATAAACTCGTCAGTCGACCAATGACCTCGTCAGTCGACTGATCAGTCGACTAAGTAAGAAACAGAAACTTTTGCTTATTCCAGACGATTTCTTCTGTCGACTGAACACGTGTATCAGTCGACTGATAACGTGTTATCAACCTATTATGAATAGTAAAACTGAATTTCAAACCTCTTTAAAAATAGCAAATAAATTCAGAAAAATGTTTGGGAAATGATTATAAACATGAAAATGAACATGTTACAAAAACTGGTTTTGAAAAAGCATCTTTCATTTGTAAAATATCATCATTTTGTAAATATGTTCAAAACATGAAAATGAACATCACTTGTTTTTTATATTTTAGCTAAACCATATTTTGAAACTTTACAAAATGATTTTACAGACTTAATAAAAGATGTATATAATGATTGTTAAGTCCATAAACAAATAACTCAACAAATTTTTACAAAAATGCATGTTTTGCAAACTTTCAAAGCAATAAACATGATTTTATTGAACTATATAAACTTGATATTGATGAAATCATATATAAGTATATAAACATGAAATACGTGTGTGTGTGTGTATATGAGCTTAAAGTATCTGCACACAAGTATAAATCTCCTAAACTAAATTACACAAGCTTGATAAAGGTCTTCAATAAGCACGACTTGGTAAACTTTCGGATGAAGTTTGAACTTGAATCTTGAACTTGAATTGTATTGCTTCACTCCACTATTCCGCCAATCTCCATTGGATATGATCATGAATACTTGATTCCATCCATCCTCCAACGGATTATTTACCTAGAATAAATAAAAAAACACAAATACTAGACAAACAACATTAGTTGTAAATTATTTGCTAAAACATCATCAAAACAAAAAGGCCAACATGCTGTAATCAGATTTTTAAGGAGGATTTGGAATCAATAAAAATTTTTGTTAACTCATTATTGGTGTGAAGCCTCGGGTGTGAAATCCTAGGCCAATGGATGTGAAACCCTAGGTCGACTCCCCTGGTTCCTCTTCCACAAACATCTGCCACCCTCCCCTGTATCTTCTTCGTTTTCCCAAACAACCGCCCCCACTCTTCTCCTCCTCCAGCAGCCTCCGTCGTTGCTTCCTCCCCTACTCCCTTCCATTTCGGGTAGCCCCGCCAACCACCCCCCACTTCGAACAGTCCCGATGAACTTACTCCTGCTCTCCTCCACCTCGAGCAGCCACTCTTTCTTCCTCCACAAACCGCCATATCCACCTCAAACAGCCGTCACTGTCATCTCACCCGTGTCAACTCGTCGACCACGTTCTCTCGTCACCCACATCGCTAGTTTACATGTTGACCCATCACCCTCGTCGTCGCTCAGATTCGTCGTCGTCGTTATCACTCAATTCACCGCCGTTGTCATCGATCATTCAACGATGTTGTCGTCGCTCAGTTCGTCGCCGCGTCATCATCTAGTTTGACGTGCGCACCACCTCCATAGGTTCCTCACGTCGAGCATGTTCAGGCCGACGAAGGTTTTTTCTCTCTCTATTTTTCTGTTAATCTCATTTTGTTAGTTAATTGCATGAGTATTTTATCTCTAAACTCTTATCATATATCCACTGCTTAGATTATATTTGTGAGTTGAGAGTAATTGAGCATGTGACTGTTAAAATTTGATATTGATTGTAGAACTTGTGCATGATAATGAATATTGCAATTAAATTGATTGAGATGGGAATTATTCATAATTATTTGATGCAAACTTTGTTAAACCCATCTGTCATATTAGTTGTTTTGAATTTAATTCCTGCCAAAGATCATGAAATTTGGTGAAACGATGTGTTATTTAAATTAAATCGCTTATTCTGATAGACCCCCTAACAGACTTTCAAAACGTAGCCAACGAGAGTACCCAAAAACGTAGCCAACG